CAAAAGGCCACCTCCAGTACAGGACATACAGCTGCTGGGAGAACACTCAGAAACTTTCTACACAGGATGCCTGCCATTTCCCAGACCCTTTATAAAGATTTACTGAATAACTGACAGTCCATCTGATAATGATGGCTTTTATGACTACACATCTGCTTATCATTTTACTATGTCCAAAATGCAAACCTGTCACCCTTGAGGAGACATCCTCATGACTTATTCATGAGGAAAAAACTGTACATGCTGACAAACTGTAAATAATACAAATCATTATTTTCACTTAAATAACAGCTCCATTTAAAAATGGATTCACTCATTCCTTTTAAAATTATTAATATTTGATCAGCACAAGATTCCTAAGGGAAGCTTAAATCTTCCCTCAAATATCATAGGAATCATATTTCTTTAAGCAATTTTAAAACCTATGAGGCAGATAGCTGGAACTGTATAAGGAAAGGAAAAAAATCATCAAAGAAAATTTCCTATGCATTTGACCTTCATGGCTTTGACACTGTAAGGAAGAATAAAAATGAAGCAGGAATCTACTGGCATTTCTAAGCTGACAATAAATTACCGAAAAGTAAATTAAAGTGGAAGATGTATTAGTTCCTTCCAGACACTGTTTAAACAAAGTACATTCCTTCAAAACCAGGCCCATTTTTTTTTAAACAAAAGAAAAGAAAACATATTAAGCACGTCTAAAATGCCATGGTGAAGACTATTTTAAGTCAGAGGTGTGTTTTCCTGTGGCAATTGTTGGGGAGTTAGCACACAGCATAGCCAGCTACTCTACTGTGCAGACCTCTGACATCTAGACAACACTCAAGAGTCCTGACGGAGGAGCCTCAGTGCAGATGAGGCTTCTTGGAAGCCTGACAGCCCAACTTAAAGATGGAAGTTGCTAAGGTTCAATACTGGAGTTCACACATGCCCTCTAACTGGCACCTGGGGTTCTGCTGGCCGGAAGTTATTCTAGGTGGCATCGACACTTCTCTATCTGTCAGTCCTCCTTGTAGAGGCTCCTTCCCCAACTTCCACTTGGCCTTTCTCACTGGGAATAATGCATCTAGAGAATACCCAAGATTCAAGAGAACAAACCTTCATACCAGACAGACCCAGACCACCTTTCCAAGCAGCCCAGGGCTGGATATTTTTTCTACAGAATCCACCACTGGGTACAGCACCTTTTCCCAATCACCCTACCCTTTGTACCTAACTACAAGACAACCAAGGACACAGTGCATGCCCTCAGTGGTAGTGCAGGGCCATCCATGAGAGTGTTGCTCACCTAGTCACAAGTGATGAAGAAGTTCTTACCCTCATGCAAGGACAGGGTTATAGTCTGTACTGATCCTCCCTCCCCACCACACACACACATCTAAACTTCTTCACCGATTGCATCAATCCTGATTAACAAGAAAAAAGGCAAACCCTAAATCTCTTCACGCCTTCTGGGTCTTCCAGCAGATTCTCCAGGGAGGCCGCCCACTTGGCTGTGCTCCTGAGGCTCTGGTGGCTGCTGCTTGAACTACCATCACTGTCGTGAATGTCTGCAAAACAAGATTCAGATGTCATGGCTGAGAGTTCTGTCATCTACGTGCAATGTATATAAGGATGGTACGATGTGCACATAACCATCGCAGAAAACACAAGTCACATGTCAGGTGCTTAACACAGTGGACTCAGTCTAGTGAGGAAGGAGCTATTGCCTTGTGCAGACAGAACTGAGGTTCAGAGCAATGCAATGTCCTGACACATCCTTCCCCAATGAATGTCCACTGAACAACTCCCAGGCAGCCCTGAGTATCCTCCACCTTCCTCCCAAAGACCCTGACTCAATGGCAGTCAAGGTCCCTGGCTTTAAGCAGTCTTATAATTATGGTGTCATGTTGGACTATCAGTAGGACTGCCTCCCACTAATCTGAAAGCTCCTCCATCCCCTCACCCCACTTATTCTCCAGCTCCTCATCTGCTCACTGTCTGGTACATAAAACACAGAGAAGGACTGGGACCAGGATGAGGATGGAAAATCAAAGGAGTTGCCAAATACTCAGGCATGAAGATAAGTACCATCATGTAATTTTTAAAGCAAAATTAATGCATAAAGCTGGGCACCACGGCTCACGCCTGTAATCCTAGCTATTCAGAGGCAGAGATCAGGAGGATAGCAGTTTGATGCCAACCCAGGCAAAAAGTTTGTGAGACCTTATCTCAACCAATAAAAGCTGGGGACAGTGGTGCATGCCTGTCATCCCAGGTAACAAGGGGAGGGTAAATGGGAGGATGGCAGCCCAGGTCAGCCTAGGCATAAAAGTGAGTCCCTATTCAAAAACCAACTAAAGCAAAAATGACTGGAGGCATGGCTCAAGTTGTAGAGCACCTGCTTATTAGCAAGCATAAGGTCCTGAGTTCAAACCACAGTACTACCAAAAAAAAATTAATGCAAACAATTCATGACAGACAAAATACTGAAAATTTAACAAAGACAGGATTGGTGTTCCTAATTTTCCCTTTTGCCTCAGTTTCTAATAAGGCTGGGCATCCCACTGTTACTTATCTGGTCTTGATTTAAACTTTCACTATTTGGTTCATCATGCAAAACTAATGTTTGCATTAGTTTTGATCCTTAAAACACTGCATTAAACATCATTTACCCTGAGGCCTGGGTTATTCCGCAATCCCGTCACGCGTTGGTGCAGCCAGTAAAGGGGTGATGACTACATGACACATCTGCTACCAACTGATTCAAGACACATCAACCCTCTTGACCCATGGAAAGGGGTGGGGGTCTCTAACTAACACACTGTGGCCCCTTGGCCAAAGGAGGAAGTGAAAGCACAAACATGTTTCACTCTGCAGAATCTAACCCTGTGCTAGAGTCAAGGAAAAAAAACTGGGATATCAGTTTGTATGGGCCCAGGTTCAAATCCCAGCTCAGCTGACACAAACTCTAAGACCTTGGGCAAAACTACTGTGTGCATTTGAATATATTTCCCTGACCCCTAGAAGTGGGCGGGATGCTGAATGTTCAACACAAAGAAGTGCTAACTCCCCTGATCTCACCATTACATTGCATACACATTTAAATGCACACAGTATCCAATACTGTGTAATTATTATGTGTCCTCTGGAGGGGACCTGGCTTGGGTCACAGCTGATGCAACAAGTGTTAGTCCCTTCTCCCCACTGCTCCCATAATGATCTATGGAGTGAACTTTTTTTACATTTAATACTTTTTCTTCACTGACATTTTTCAAAGCTAGAGACATGTTTCTATAAAGAAATTTTGAATCCAGGAGAAAATAAACTTTCAATTAAGAAATCAGCAACACAAGTCATTTTTAAAGGATTAATGAAAAATCTTACAAATATTAATTACTGAAAATAGCTAGGTAGCCATACAGCTAAAAATGTTTTTGAGAAAATTTGTAGCAGAATACACTGGACTTAATAGTGACAGCTTCTATGATCTCTTGTCTTACTGAGGGGCACAGCCACACACATCTTAACCTCTGTTTTTGTTTGTTTTTTTAAGATAGGGTCTCACTGTGTAGACCAGGCTGGCCTTGAACACACTATCATTCTGCCTCAGACTCCCAAGTGCTGGGATTACAGGTGTGCATCATCACACCTGGCTTTATACCTTAACCTCTTAATCTGCTGAGACTCTACTTTGTGGCACCTTACAAAAATAAAACAGAAGCTGGGTGCCAGTGGCTTCATCTGTAATTCTAGGAGGCTGAGATTGGGTGGATCATGGTTCAAGGCCAGCCCTGGGAAATACTTTGCCAGACCATATCTCCAAAATAGCCAGAGCAAAATGGACTGGAGGTGTGGCCCAAGTGGTAGAGCACCTGCTTTGCAAGTGTGAAGGCCCGAGTTCAAACCCCCAGTCTCAATTAATTAATTAATTAATTTTAAAAAAATAGAATAAAACCCAGGAGGGTTTGTGTGTTGAAATTCATTAGTGACGGGGGACTTAATTTGGGACAACCCTGTTCCTCTAATCAAGAGGCCAGCTCACTCAAACACATCAAATGGCTCTGCTGGTTTTCCAAAGTGACTCTTCAGCTCTTGGATAGGAAATTTGTTCCCTGCTCTCTTTGTCAAAACTGAAATGACAAGCTCTTGCACACAGAGCATGTCCGCAAAGATGAAACAAACAGATCACAGGAATGTCTGACTCGCTCTGTTGAGCCTTGCCCAGAGAACACAGCTTGCCATTTACCCCACTTCGCCAGCAGATCCACACTTAGGTAAATAAACCCAGAGACACAAGCGGGCTGTTCAGGAACAGTCTCCAGCAGCCAAGCTGTTACAGAACGACACCTCTGCCATAAGTCTTCCACTGTGGTCTAGAAGGATGCAAAACCCCTGGCACTCTCCAATAATAAACCAAACCATGCTAGGGGCTTCACCGCCACTTCGCCACCAGAATGCACCAAGGTAAGACCTTGTTACCTACCTGCTTTATTTCCTATGCTAGTAATTTTGCATGTTAGTTTTCTGTGCCAGCTTTCATTTAAACAAAAAGTTGTGCAACTCAGAACCCACTAATCTGGTCTAGATCCCTTCATCTACAGATTGAGAAATAAAAGTCCAGGTGACCCAGCTAGGGAAGCTCTGGATGGAACCAGTATTGGGACCCAGGCAGTTCCCACCAGGAACCCCCTCACTTGATTCCTTCCTGGGTACCCATCTTCCCGGTATCAAATGTGATACTGGCGCCATCACAGAAGAGAGGGTCATTTTAGGTCTCAGTGGCTATGGTGATTTGTTTCCTGACTTTGGCACCCTGAATAAAGAGAAATTCTCCCTGCTTTTGCCTACCTATGCCTCCATAAGCTGTCTATAGGATTCTTCTACTATCTATCATGTTTTTTACTTTCCTTAGAAATACTGGTTTGAATTTTTCCAAGACTTCTGGATTGACCTGCAAGTTTGATTAAGGCTATTGGGTATGCCCCTCCTTTTGTTTTGTTTTTTTAAATCCTTTTTTGGTTGATAGTGGTATAAAGTAGACAGAGTTTGATGAAGCAGCTTTTGCAAACATCATTCACTTTAACTGCATGTGCATTCAGTCTGTTATTCATTACCATAATGAAATACTTGAAGCAGGCTACTTAATAAAGAAAAGAGATTTATTTGGGCTTATGGTTCTGGAGGTGCAAGGTCAGGAGGGTTGCATCTGGTGATGCCATTCTTGCTAACAGAGTCCTCAGATGGTGTAGGGAATCACATGGCAAGATAGGGAGCACTCATGTGTCTTGTAGTCTCTCTCCCTCTTCTTACAGAGCCATCATGAAGGCTCCATGCTGATGACCTTATCTGATCTTAATCACTTCCCAAATGCCCTGCCTCTAAACATCATCAGAATAAGTGTCCACGTTCTAAATATCTCACAACAGGGATTAAATTTCAATATGAACTTTGGGAGACACACTCAGATCACCTTAGGCCATAATAGCATCCTTTTTTTTTTTTTGGTACTGGGGTTTGAACTCAGAACCTCACACTTGCTAGGCAGGTGCTGTTGCACTTGAGCCACTCTGCCAGCCTTGTTTTGTGTTGAGTATTTTTCAAGATAGGGTCTCTCTAACTATTTGCCTGGGCTGGCCTCAAATCACCATCCCCCTGATCTCAAGCCTCTTAAATAGCTAGGATTATAGGCATGAGCCACCAGCACCTGGCTAGCATCCCTTTTTTCTAAGTCATTATCCCCAACCTCCAGTGAGACTAAGCAGCATCTACTCCACTTGGCATTACCCTAGATTTCGACTTCAACTCAGGGCACTTTTGTGACTCAGAGTGCTCTGCTCAGGAGACTTCCTCTATTTTCTGTGCATGCCATGCCATCTTGGCTCACCATTACTCGACCAGTAATGTAGAGGAGAAATACATAGCCATTTTCAATAGCAAGCAGTTACTTCTAAACCTAAGAATAAAACAACCCCAGGATCTCACAGTTCCTGGCCCTTGGATCCACAAAGCTCCCAAACTCTCATCCTTTTCCACTGACAAAGCTACCATTTCAGGTGGATTACACAAGAAAGCAGGATTGGGGTGCAGAGGTGGGAAAAATGTTAGCCATGTTTTTCCAGCAGCTTACCAATCTCTCCCACCAGTGAGGAACTGTTTGTGATAACATTTGTTTCAATTTTATCCAGCTCCATTTATTTTTTGTTGTTCTTAGTTCAACTGTAAAACATTTTAGCATGAACCAAAGGGATTTTTTTTAGCTCCTAAACTCTTTAAAGTACCTTAGTTCTTAAAATTGTGCGTGCCGATACAATTATTCCATAAATTTATTGTCAGATTAATCTGTCATTAGCTGATAATAACACTTCACAGTTGCAAATTATTTACAATATACTAGGTTCTGCTCTGAGCTTTGGCCTAAATCATTCAACTCCCACAAAAATATTCCCATATGGTTGATGATATGGATAAGGACACTGAGGCACAGGAACTTGTAAAGATCACCCAGCCAGGAAGTCAGAACTCATGGTCCAAAACCAGATATTTGAACTCCAAGGTACCTTCTCCTTCC